GCAAACCCTCTAAGCTTTGGTCTCCGCAGTGGAAAGTGAGAGGAATGGCCAAGGGGTTACTGTGCCCAGGGTTCTTGTGAGGATTAAGTTGGGTGCACAGAGCAGGTTAGCACCGTGCTTGGCTCTGCAAGTGGTAGCTGATGTTTTATTACTGATCTGTGTGATGGTCTAAGATGGACATTGGCCCCATTTTACAGATGAGGAAGCTGAGGTGCCCAAAGCAGAAACGAGCTGCCTAAGGTCACACAGGTAGTGGCAGAGCAGGATTCTCATCACACCTAGTACTTTCCCCCAAGGACTCTCAGTCCTCAAGGTGCCAGGCCGGTAACCACAGCCAACCTTTACTGAGCACCTACTATGAGCTTGTTCTAAACTCTTTACTTGAAGCAACTCATTTAATTTTGCAACAACTCTACTATGGGTGCTATGATTATCCCTAGTTACAGAGAGGGGAACTGAGGCATGGAGAGCTTAAGCTTAAGGTCACACAGCCGCTGAGAGGCTGGGCTGGCATCAGAAGGAGAGCAGGCCAGGTCTTAGCCCCTGGCGGGGAGTGAGGTCGGGTTGTGGGTAAATAGCGCTGCCATGTCCCCGCCCCGCAGTCGGGAGACTCTGGGCCGCCCCTCCTCGCTGTTAAGCCGCTGCCGTTCAGCGGTCCCAAGGGCTCCCCGGGCTCCCCAGGCTCGCCCCGGAAGCCACGGCCGCGCATTTCATTAGTGCCTTGGCCAGTAGCCTCCAGGCCCTTCCCGGAGTCTCTCTGTCTTCTCCCCACTCAAATATCACCTCCCAGGGGACGCGTCTTCATTTCTCCCTTCTCTCACCGAGCTCTGCGGAGCCGGGCTCAGTGCCAGGCCCTGCCCGGGCAAAGACGCAGCCCGGCTCAGTACGGGAGGCCGCTCCGTAAACAGACAATTACCAGGCGCGCACTGCGCCCTCCAGTAATAAGATTAATGAAAATAATAGCTCGCGTTCGCCCCACGCTTCCAACAGTCGCTGTTGAGGAAGCTTTACATAAATTAACTCGTGAGCACCCCCCTCCACGATCCTCTGAGGACACGTGCCATTGGACAGTGGAGGAAACTAAGGCCCAAGGTCAGGCACCACTACATGGCATGGGGTGGGGGGGCGTTCCCAGAGACCTCCGTGCTGGAGGACAGCAGCTGTCACTTTGGAGCACCTACTTCATTTTAAGCCTCACCTCCCTCGCTGAGTGTCAAAGAAAGTTAAATCCTATTTTTCGACTATTAAATCAGCTAGAATATTGCCACTCATCTCAGGCAGGGAGAAACTGGGCTTTGAATCTGGAGCTAAGCTTGATCCCAAAGCCTTGTGCCTGCCTCCAGATGGGTGCCTCCCTCCAATGGAGGTCTTTCCAGGAGGCCAGAGGAGCACAGACAGGGAAGTATTAGGAGAGGCTCTCTTAGAAAAGGAGGTATTTGGTGATATCTGGACTGGGCCTTGAAGGATGAGTAGGAATTGGGGTAGGGGGCATGCCACAGCAGGTATAAAGGTCAGAAGTCCAGAGGACAAGTCCTGACCATCCCTCTTAATTGCTGGGTGACTTTTGCCAAGTCTCTCTACTTCTCTGAACCTAGTTTCCTCATCTGCAACATGGAAGTAGTAGTCCTGAGGTTGTCAAGACTGAATGAGATCATGGAAATAAAAGTGTTTGATCATTGTGGCTGGAGGACAGAGGAAGGTAGCCAGAGCACTGATCCCCTGCTGCCCACAGGGCTAATTAGCTCCTAGTGGAAATGACTCTTCCCTGCTCGTGAAAAAAAAGAGACCAGAGAGGAAGGAAGGCCCAGTGGCCCAGAGAGGTTAAAACACTTGCCTGAGATCACACAGCAGAAACTGGAAGAGTCAGGATTTGAGTAGAGATTCGTCTGACTGCAAAGACCAGCTCTCCTGGACGTCCCAGTGGTGGATCTGCCATGATTAACCTTTCCCTGCAGTTGCCCACTGAAGCCGTTTTCTGTTTTGCACTCATACAAATAATGTGCCACTGAACGTCCTTGTGCACAAACCCTTGCCATAGTTTACATTATTTCCCTAGGACAGATCCCCAGATAAGCTTACTGGTTCCAGAGATAAGAACATTTTCATGGGCTTTTGATAAATATTTTTCATTTGCTTCCAGAAGGGTTACCGATTTGCCATCCCGCCTGCAACATCTGAGAGAAATGTTTTCACTGGGTTCTCACTAGTTATTTGTTTTGAATCCCCCAAATGTCTGAGATGAAACTATAGTATCACAGAGTTGTGTCGGCTTGTTCCTTAACTAATGAAGTTGAGTTTTTAAGGCCTGGAAATTTACCAGGCTCAGTATCAGAAGTCACTGGGACTGTGAGAGAGACTGGGGTAGAGGGGAAGGTGTCCAGAGTCCAGAATGGTCATTTCAGCTAAGAAACAGAAAGCATGGCCGGGAGGGGCAGGCAGGGTTCAGGAGACGGGGACAAGGCTCTTGCACTTACTGCTTTTCTCTTCCTGGCACACTTGTTCTTGGCTCCTCCCCACTGGTGGCTCCTTCTCCTCCAGCTCTCAGCTCACACAGCATCTAAGAGGAGGCCCTCGCTGTCCCCCGCCACATAGAGGCGGGGCTTTCAAGACCTCCTGGTCTTGCTCAGAGTGATTCTCTTCACAGCCCTCAGTGTACCTGAAGCACTTGCTCATTCATTTCCTGGCCCATTTCCTGCCTCTGCCTTCAGAATGTAAAGCCCCGTGAGAACAAGGAGCTTCATCTTCTAATGTATTGCCAGCCCCTGGACCTATGTGGCTCGCTAATTAATTGTTTCCATTTGTGGGTCACCTTATCACCCAGTAGTGCTATTCCTGCCTGCGTCATATTGCCCAGAGGCAGAACCAGCCCCTTTTCTTGCATCCCCCAAATCTTCCCCAAACACCACTTACCCAAGTTATTTGTGTCCACAACTGACTTCCATGAAGTTTAGGTCAACAGGAATTTTTTGATTTTTTGAGACAGGGTCTCACTCTGTTGTCCAGGCTGGAATCAGTGGCAGGATCATAGCCCATTGCAGCCTCCAGCTCCTGAGCTTGAATGATCTTCCCACCCCAGCCTCCCAGGTAGCTCATTTTTTAAATTATTTTTTTGTGGAGACCAGGGTCTTGCCATGTTGCTCAAGCTGGTCTCTGTGACCCTCTGGCCTTAAGTGATTCTCTCAGCGTGGCCTCCTAAAGTGCTGGGATGACAGGTGTGAGCCACTGCACCTGCCAACAAGAAGTCTTTATGCCACCACGTTGCTCAGACCCACTTCCCCTCAGGACTCTGTTTTCCCCAGAGTCAGGTCTCCCCTTCCCTAGGACTGTGTCTCAGAGTTCAGCTCCCTCATTCTGTTAGAATAATCTTACTCTGCTCTCTGACCAGCCTTTGAAGACCCACTAATATCTCTCCTCCACAAAAGGCCACCTACCCCAGATCCCCTGTGGAGTGGCAGCTCAGGAAGACTGGCAGAAGACTTGGAATGTCCATTGTCCCCTTTTCCATCCCCTACTGGGCTCTATACAGCAAAGGAAGTTGTGTAGAATTTTGTCTCCCTAAGACATGAATTATCACCAAATCCCCTGCCTTAGAAGTAGAGCGGGAAGTGGAACAGACTGTTTGGTTTTTAATAATAATTTTTCTCTCTGTTCTCAAATCATGTCAGTCTACAATAATCACCACATAACAGTATTTCTCCCTTGGTGCTGCCAAGGAGCCTCTTGGGTACCCAGGAGCCATTTCTCTATTTTCAAATAGCAGGTGCCACCTTCCTCCTTGCAGATCTCCTGTGAGCAAGGCCCTGGTAACCCACTGGGAGCCACCAGGGAGGCTGTGTTGCCAGCTCCACCAAGATCATCAGCTGGTACTTCCTTGGCTGAGCCTGAGTTAGGATGAGCGCCTCAGAGAACCCCCAGGAGGAGGTCCCTAACTGTGAGGTTCCTTCTCCGCTTAGACTACCTTATAGAAATACCACAGGACAAAAAAGATTTGCTCTAATGCTAACAGACTGAGTGGAGGAGCCCAGTAAGTCCCGTCTGATGACCTACAGTCAACCAAGGTAGGTCAGATAATTTCTTTACAGCCTTTTTTCACACAGAATAATTTTATGTTTGATAAACTTTGGGGCTTTGGGGGAAAGGAGGTCTGTGGCTAACCTTAGAAGCACTAATCACTAATGCCTCAGAATATGACTTTTTTTTTTTTTTTTGCAAATGGATTAGTTTAGGATCTGATTAGTTAACATGAGGTCGTATGGAATAGGGTAGACACTAAATCTAATGCCTGCCGCCCTTATGAAAAGGGAAAATTTGAAACTGGACACACACACAGAAGGGAGAAGACAGCCATCTGCAAGTCAGAGAGAGAAGCCTGGAACACAGCCTTCCCTGGGAACCTGCAGGAGGAACCAACCCTGCTCACACCTTCCTCCAAGACGTCTAACCTCCCAAACTGTGAGGCAATAAACTTGTGTTGTTTATACCATCCAGTCTACAGGACTTTGCTGGGCAGCCCTAGTAAACTAATATGCATATATTTCCTGATTTAATTCTCACAATCCCTGTAATTAGGGAGGGTCTTTGTTGTCTAAAAAATGGAGTGAAGGCCGAAGTTGGGGGTTTTTTTGCTTGTTTGTTTTTGAGACAGAGTCTCTCTCTGTCTCCTGTGCTAGAGTGCCATGGTGTCAGCCTAGCTCACAGCAACCTCAAACTCCTGGTCTCAAGCAATTCTCCTGCCCCAGTCCCCCAAGTAGATGGAACTACAGGTGTTCACCACAACATCCAGCTAATTTTCCTATTTTTAGTAAATGTGGAGCCTCAGTCTTGCTGAGGTTGCTCTCAAACTCCTGAACTCAAGAAATCCTCCCACTTCAGCTTCCCAGAATGCTACGGTTTCAACGTGTAATTTATTTACAAGGTACGGAGCTCTGGGAACCACGTGTTTTCTGTCTATAAATATCAGGACTTGTCATTCTGCATTTCAGCAGTCACTGGACTTCAACATGGTCACTTCTCAGTTGCTGGCCTATGCGGCACTTTTCTTTTCCTGTGTCTTCAAAGCCAGCTCTCTCGACACTTTTATTGCAGCTGTTTATGAGCATGCCGTGGTGTTGCCTAATGCCACCCTAACGCTGGTGTCCAGTGGGGAGGCGTTGGCATTAATGAATCGGAATCTGGACCTTTTGGAAGGAGCGATCATATCAGCTGCACGACAGGGTGCACATACTATTGTGACTCCTGAAGACGGTATATATGGCTGGAACTTCACCAGAGACTCTCTCTACCCATACTTGGAGGATATCCCACATCCTCAAGTAAACTGGATCCCCTGTAACAATCCGAACAGGTTTGGCCACGCTCCAGTACAAGAACGACTCAGCTGTCTGGCCAAGGACAACTCTATCTACGTTGTGGCAAATATTGGGGACAAGAAGCCATGCAATGCCAGTGACCCTCAGTGTCCCCGTGATGGCCGTTACCAATACAACACTGACGTGGTGTTTGATTCTCAGGGTAGGCTGGTGGCACGCTACCATAAACATAACCTTTTCATGGGTGAAAAGCAATTCAATGCACCCATGGAGCCTGAGGTGGTGACTTTCAACACCACCTTCGGAAGGTTTGGCATTTTCACATGCTTTGATCTACTCTTCCATGAGCCTGCGGTCACCCTGGTGAAAGATTTCCACGTGGACACCATACTCTTCCCGACGGCTTGGATGAATGTTTTGCCACATTTGTCAGCTATCGAATTCCACTCGGCTTGGGCTATGGGCATGGGGGTCAATTTCCTTGCAGCTAATATACATTACCCCCCAATGAAAATGACAGGAAGTGGCATCTATGCACCCGATTCTGCAAGAGCATTTCATTATGACATGAAGACAGAGGAGGGACAACTCCTCCTGTCCCAACTGGAGTCCCACCCATCCCATCCTGCAGTGAACTGGACATCTTACGCCTGCAGTGTAGAAGCACCCGCAACTGGAAACCAGGAATTTAAAGGCATTGTCTTTTTTGATGAATACACTTTTGTGGAGCTCATGGAAGTCACTGCGAATTACACAGTTTGTCAGAAAGATCTCTGTTGTCATCTAAGCTACCAGATGTCAGAGAAGAGAACAGATGAAGTTTATGTCCTAGGGGCATTTGATGGCCTGCACACCGTGGAGGGCCAATATCATCTACAGGTTTGCACACTGCTGAAGTGTAAAACGACTGACTTTCACACTTGCGGTGACTCCGTTGCAGTAGCTTCTACCAGGTTTGAAATGTTCTCCCTCAGTGGCACTTTTGGAACCCCGTATGTCTTCCCCGAGATGTTGTTGAGTGAGATTCGGCTTGCACCTGGAGAATTTCAGGTGGCCAGTGATGGACGCTTGTTTAACCTGAAGCCAACATCCGGACCTGTCTTAACAGTGACTCTGTTTGGGAGGCTGTATGAGAAGGACTGGCCATCAAACACGTCATCAGACCTCTTAGCACAAACACTACAAATAATGCTAGCAGTCATAATACTTGTTGCATACTCCTTACGTGGGTAGAATATTTATGTTTTCTCTCTTTTGTTTGGGATAATTTAAAAAGTTGATGGATGAAGAATAAAAGATTGGCCTGGGGAGAAAAAAAAAAAGAAGAACAGTTCTAGGAGAACAGTTCTATTGGGTTCAAATGAGTTTCCATGTTCTGAGGGAGAAATGACTATTACCTTAAAAAAAAAAAAAAAAAACTGCCTCGACCTGAATGAATGGTTAAAACTGCAAGGCAAAGCAAAGAAAGGATTTGGCACTAATGAGTATTGATTACAGAGAGGAAACTGGTTAATTGAGTGAGTTGGTAAGTTGGTTGCCAAGGTAACATCTCACTTGGAATAAAATCATCACCACACTGGGCACACATGCACGAATGAGAGCTGGATAGGGACCAGAGGTGCAGCAGAATCTTGCTTGTTTGGAGACCAAGAATATGAAACATCAAAACATTGGAAAGCACTGGAGAAGGGAAGTTTGAAGCTATTTCCTCTCCACCAAGAAGAGCCTCGCTCTTTACCGGATCCCTGGTACACAGGATCCAGGCCAGGAACCCGGGCACCTGTCTGTGTGCAGTGAGCCGATCATCAACTTTCCACTGGCTAGACATAGAGGAAGTGAGAGACAGGAAACATTTTCTTGAGGTTTTCAAGAAAAGCCAATTTGCATAAACATTGATAACGGTTGAGCTTAGAAGCAGGGTGACAGTTTGTGC